TGTGTTTGTATAAAAAAGTGAGGAAGCGAGCGAGAGATTGGAGGAGAGTGGCGAGCGAGATATTTGGGGGAGAGGTGCCTGATAATTTTTTGCAAACGTTTGCTATGGAGCACAATTAAATCAAACCCTAGCTACTCCATTTATTTTAGGTTATTAGTTTGCTATTATATACATTTTCCCCATAATTTAGCTTCCTCCTAAAATATAATTTAGAATTTACTACAACCGCATAAACAAAAAGAAAATTTCCATGAAATTATTTTTCTTTCTTTACATGTTTCTAAAGATAACATACCAAATAGATTATACGAAATCAACTATATTTAAAATACTAAAAGCATAGATAGTGAAGAATAAGTCGAAAAATATAATTTATTGGGTTCAATGATAATAATATTTGATCAAAATATATAAACAAAAAAAATTATTCATAAATCTCATGAGGTCCGGGAGAAGCGCGGATATGTTAACTAGTTATCATTAAAAACTAAACATGAAAAATAAGAATAGACTTAGACAATAATTTTACTTAAGCATGAAATAAACTATGAGTTATTTAATATGAAATAAATTACGGTTTGTTATAGCAATTTCACACAAAATGTAACTATATAAAGGATCTAAACATAAAGTTGATATGAAATATTTGAACAAACTTCATATAAAAACATAATGATTTACAACATGTGAAATTTGACAACTTCAATATATTGCAATCAATGCTTGTATAAACATGATATTAAATTTTTAAATGAAAATTAAATGGTACCTCTTGCGAAAATTCCACCAAAAGAAAACAATTTGAATAAGGAACCACAAAAGTAAACCTCAACTTTTGTTTGTGAGTCAAAACAAAATATGAAACAAAATGTGAATCTGTTTGCTGATTTTTTATTTGTGGGTGATTCTCTTCCTTTTTGTGTGTATTTTTCTTTTCACGTTTCTCTTCCTTTTTCTTTCAGATTTCTTCTTTTATATGTCTCCATGTGTGCATGTATCTAGTAATGTGTAGTAGTGTGTACGTGTGTGCAGGTCGTGGGGGAAGTGTGTGTGTGTGTGTGGGGGGGGGGGGGGTAATGGGAATGGTTTCTCTTTTTATATATAAAATAATAATGATATAATTATTAATTGTTCTGAATAAATAAATAAATTTATAAAACTAAATGGCTTATTTAAAAAAAAATATAACTAAGAAATATTAGCTTATTTATTAAATTTAAATAATATATATATATATATATATATATATATATATATATATATATATATATATATATATATATATATAACTTTTTTGTAACTAAAAAATAAACTTATCTAATAAAACTATATTTATGTTGTTTGTTTTTATATCCTTAAATAATCTATTTATAAATATATTTATGCTCTAAAAATTGGTGTTAAACTTAAATTCGGTAAAAGATTACGTGTTTATAGTTTGCTCCTCTTTGACTGGAAACAAGAAAAGTTTTCAGACAAAGAAGTAGACAAAGTGACAAGTTTTGACCGAACTCTTATTTGAAAGACCAAAATTTGTGCGATCGAGTCCTTGTTTTGGACATCCTACATATCCCGGGTGATAAGGGAATCAGGCCACATGTAGTTCGAGGAGATGAAGTGATGAGTTGGATGTTAAGTGAGATTCCTTCGAGGCTCCAGATCGTGGCTCTTATCTTTACATAAAAAAATAAAAATCTAATAGTCAAGAAAAAAATTATATACAAGCTCCTACCTATGCAACTTTTATTGAGTCTTCACTTTAATATTGACTTTAAGATATCACCTTAATTTTTGGGTGAATATCTTAACCTAGAATTGGAATGGAAGCTAAACTTGCCACTTAGACTGAGCTTGTGACATTCTTCAAAATGACAATTTGAATAATGCTCTTGAATGACTGCATGTTTTCTTGATAAAAAATTGACTAGTAAAAGATGTAAGGACGTCAGGATGTTACATGCATTGATGAAGCTAATTCTGATCATCATGGAATTAATTATTCTAAAAAAAGTTGAAACTTTGTTCTTGAATCTCAAATTCATATTTCGCTTGAGGAAACCTGAAAACCACCACAAACAAAAAAATAAACAAAATATTTGCCCTAGTTTTCACTGGGAAATTTTTTCCTGAGTTATTAGCAAATATAAATATATAAAACATAAAATCAAACTAGGAAATGTTTATTCTAGAAGAAAGTAATCTAATCCCATTATCCGGAGGGTCCTGCTAAAATCCCATTATCCAGGATGATCCTTCTAGTCCCATTATCCAGGAGGGTCCTGCTAGTCCCATTATCCAGGATGGTCCTACTAATCCCTTGATCTAGGAGGGTCCTGCTAGTCCCATTATCCAGGAGGGTCTTGTTAATCCAATTATCCATGAGGGTCCTGCTAGTCCCATTATCGAGGAGGGTCCTGCTAGTCCCATTATCTAGGAGTTTCCTGCTAATCCCATTATTCAGGAGGATCCTGCTAGTTCCATTATCCAGGAGGGCCCTGCTAAGAAAGCATTCAATAGACTAACAATACCAACAAAACAATGTGAATGTTATCTACATTATTCTCAATACATTCAAGAAAATATATATTTAACCTCTCAGGTAATTGCTATTTTGATTTATATTGGCCAATTTTCAGAAATTGAGTTCCGCAAATCTTTATTGTAGGGTTTCCATTTCACTCATTGTAGACTAGGTTGAACATCTAGGTTCCTCGAATCTTTAATCTTGAAACAACTTGTGTCCCTGCTTCAACAAAGAAAATTCGTGAGTTTGAAAAGGTGGTGGTTGGTTTTTGGTTCCATCTTTTGACAAGGGTGACTCTGCAGTTGTGACACTTGGTTGTTTCCAACGGTCAATACTCCTTATTGATTGATTGTACTTTCACCCAAATTTGCTTATTTTGGGACCTAAATCTAATGTCTTTATTCCACAACACTTATTGTTTAGCCTTCGTAAAATCTGAGACTTTTCAAATACAACACTTGAAGACAGATTATAACTCATTAATCTGAGCTTCGCCTAGTACAATTTAGAGGGTTGGTAGCGAGTCTTGAAATCCCTTCCTAGTTTCTTGACACAGACCCGACTCAAATAGATATGAAATAAGGTGACGAAAAGTATAAGAAAACTACGAATTACATGAGAATAAAAGAAAAGATTCGATACAGACTCTCTTTTCAGTAAGAAGAAGAAAGAAAAACATATCTGAGTGTGGAACCCGAGTCTACTGATCATGTTATGCAGTTTGAATTAATTTCCAGACTTGTCTATCCAATCTATTCACCAACCATTATTGATCATTCAATCTTGATGGGGGATCCCAACATCCTATGAAGCCATAAATAATTTAAAACCCTTATTCACTTTATGATATTCACGAAGGTTTTTGCAACTAAAACTCTATCATGTTAATTCCTCCAGCTCACGTTTGCCTCATGGTGCCTGTCAAGGTTTTCACCAATAAGACTCTCTCATATTCAACTCATTTTCGTCTTACGGTTCCCACTTAGGGTTTTCACCAATAAGACTCTCTCATTTTTATTTCTCTCTACTCACATTTATCTTATGGTGCCCATTCAAGATTCTCACCTACCCTTAACCAACTTACTATTGACATATCAAGGGTTAATGCAAAGACATTTCTTTGGTTGACTTTAGATGATGGGGTTGATTTTGAGTTTTGGGATGAAACACCAAATGAATAAGCAAACGACTTTTGCCCCAATTTACTACAATTATTTTTAGATTTGTATTTGGTTGAACCAAACCCAACACTAGGGCTGCCTACGTATCTTATTGAGACAAGAATCAGGTCGAACGTAGTTCAGACAAATTTTTTTGTATTTTTTTTCTTTTAATTTTTTTTGAAAAAACCAAGGAAACAACATAACCAAGAGTTTCCATTGAATCAACCTTTGAAATGTCGAGCCCAAACATAAGGGTTTCTAAACGCCAAAAATCAAATCATATAAAATATCTTTTCACGGCATCAACATTGATGACCATTTCTGTCATTTTGCCTTCTATATCTGCTAAGTAAAGAGCACCATTGGGTAATACCCTTTTTACAATAAATGGTCCTTTCAAATTTGGCAGAATGTGTCTCAACACTAATTGACCCACTTTGAAATGTCTAGGACGCACTCTCTTGTTGTATGCTCGTGCCATTTTTTCTGGTACAATTGTCCATGACATATCGATATTAGACGCTTCTCATCAATCACACTTAATTTATCTAACCGTGTTTTGATCCACTCATCATCATCAATTTCAACCTCCACAACAACTCATAAAGATGGAATCTTAACCTCTGCAGGTATAACTGCCTCAGTCCCTTATACAGTGAACACGGGGTAGCGCCCACTGACGTACGGACTGTGGTGCGATAACCCAACAAAGCAAAAGGTAACTTTTTATGCCATTTTGGAGAACTTTGCACCATCTTACAAAGTATTTTTTTTATATTTTTGTTAGCAGCTTCTACAGCCCTGTTTGCCTTTGGGCGATACGGAGTCGAATTTCGATGCTCAATCTTAAACTAATGGCATACCTCTTGCATTAATTGGCTGTTGAGATTCGTACCGTTATCAGTAATAATCACCTTTGGAATATCAAACCGACAGATGATGTTGAAATGGGTAAAATCCACCACGACCTTCTTGGTCACTGACTTGAAAATTACTGCTTCCGCCCACTTTGTAAAATAATCAATGGCCACCAAGATGAACCTGTGACCATTCAATGCTTTTGGTTCTATCGGTCAAATTACATCCATTCCCCATGCCACGAAAGGCCATGCAGCAGACATTGCATGCAACTCAGAAGGAGAAAAATGTATCAAATCACCATGTATTTGACATTAATGACATTTACGAACAAATCATATGAAATTCCGCTCCATGGTAAGCCAATAATAGCCTGCTCGAAGTATCTTCTTTGCTAGAACATATTCATTCATGTGAGGTCCACAAACTCCTTAGTGTACTTCAATCATGATTGTTCAAGCCTCTTGAGCATTTACACACCTTAAAAGACCTGAATCGACTGTCTTCTTGTATAGCATGCCTCCGCTTAAGAAAAAACCCCTTGCTAGTCGTTGAATAGTCCTTTTTTGATTACTAGTTACATCCGACAGACATTCTCCAGACTGAAGATATGTTTTGATATCATGAAACCAAGGTTTACCATCAAATTCCTCCTCAATCATATTGAAATAAGCATGTTGATCACGAATTTGTATGTATAAAGGATCAATATGAGCGTCATCAGGATGTTGGAGCATCGAAGATAAAGTGGCCAATGCGTCTGCAATCTCATTGTGAACTCTGGGAATGTGTCTAAACTTTATTGACACGAATCGTTGACAAAGACCTTGTAAACAATGTTGATATGGTAAGATCTTTGGTTCTCGAGTTTCCCATTCTCCTTGAATTTGATGAACTTGCAAGTATGAGTCGCCTAACACTAGCAGTTCTTGGATGCCCATGTTAGCAGCTAACCTCAAACCCAAAATGCATGCTTCATATTCAGACATATTATTAGTACAATAGAATCTAAGTTGGGCTGTTATAGGGTAATATTCCACTGATTCAGACATGAGAACTGCTCCTATTCTAACTCCTTTCTTGTTAGAGGCACCATCAAAGAATAAATTCCAACCTTGATTGTTATCGTGAATAATTTCGTCAATACAAGATATTTCTTCATCTGGAAAATAGGTTTTAAGTGGTTCCTATTTTTCATCAATAGGGTTCTCTGTCAAATGATCCGCCAATGCTTGAGCTTTCATTGCGGTCCGCATCACATAGATAATGTCAAACTATGTGAGCAATATTTGCCACTTCGAAAGCCTGCCTGTGGGCATGGGTTTTTGAAAAATATGTTTCAACGGATCCATACGAGAAATGAGATAAGTAGTGTAAGATGAAAGATAATGCTTCAACTTCTTTGCTATCCAAGTTAGGGCACAACGCGTTCTTTCAAGAAGGGTGTACTTGGCTTCGTAAACGGTAAACTTCTTGTTGAGGTAATAAATGACCCGCTCTTTCTTCCCAGTGTCATCATGCTGAACCAATACACAACCAAAAGAATTATCCAAACCTGACATATACAATATAAAAGGTCTTCTCGGCTCGGGAGGAACCAACACAGGGGCATTCGATAGATAATTATTAATTCTTTCAAAAGCCTCTCGACATTCTTCAGTCCACTCGACTGTGGCATTCTTTTTTAACAACTTAAAGATTGGATCACAAGTTGTTGTGAGTTGAGCAATGAATCTGCTGATGTAGTTTAACCTTCCTAGAAGGCTCATAACCTCAGTTTTGTTCTTTGGAGATGGCTATTCTTGAATAACTTTTAATTTTGAAGGATCCAACTCGATACCTCTTCGACTGACTATAAACCCCAAAAGCTTCCCCGATGGTACTCCAAATACACATTTTGAAGGATTGAGCTTGAGGTATACCTGCGAAGTCTTTCGAAGAATCTCCTTAACTCTTTTACATGTTTTGACTGCTTTTTAGATTTAATGATAACATCATCCACATAAACTTCGATTTCTCTATGCATCATATCATGAAACATGGTTTTCATTGCTTTCATATAAGTTTCCCCTGCATTTTTTAACCCAAAAGGCATAACCCGATGACAATATGTACCCCATGGAGTGATAAAAGATGTTTTTCTACCTCTTCGTCATCCATAATAATATGATGGTAACCCGTATAGCAATCCACAAAAGATGCAACCTCGTGTTTAGCACAATTATCCAATAAAATATGGATGTTAGGAAAAGGAAAATCATCTTTTGGACTTGCTTTGTTCAAATCACGATAATCAACACACATTCAAACTTTGCCGTCTTTCTTAGGGAAGGGTACGATGTTGGCTAACAAAAAAGGATATTGAGTGACTCGAATGACTTTGGCTGCAAGTTCTTTTCTGATCTCCTCTTTAATTATTACACTCGTGTCGGTTTTAAGTTTTCTCAACTTATGCTTTATCGAAGGAAAATTATGATCAATTGGCAACCTGTGAACAACCATGTCAGTGCTTAATCCAGGCATGTCATCATAGGATGACACAAAAACATCTTTGCAATCAAACAGGGCCTGTATTATGTCTTCCTTTTGATGTCGAACATGTACTCTTATCTTAGTCTCCTTCATAATTTCATGATCCCCCAAATTTATCGTCTTAGTTTCACTCTTGTTTGGGTTTGACTTATTTTCAAAATGATTGAAATCCCTCCTTACTTCTTCAAATACTCCTTCTTCATTATATTTGATTTCTTGACTTATTATTTCAATATTAGGTCGAAGAATAGATTGGATATTAAGATCTGGCGAAAAATTCTGCATGCATGTCATATCACTAGAATACGCATAGAAAGAATTGTATAAAAGTAAACGAACAAATATATTAGACTGAAATAAAAAAGCAATTGCATCCTATTGAAAAGGGAAATAGAGAGTTTGAAATAAAACGACAAGATAAAATCCAAATTATAATCCTTGAATGAATCGGACGACAAAAGAAAAAACAAGACAGACTACCAAGACTCGTCTTAAACAGGGAGAGGATTGGCCTCCCAATTGTTTAGATGGACATCAGGACCAATGAATTGCATATCTCTGTCGCTAGTGCCTTCTCCGAGTTCCACCATATCAACCTCGACAAATAAATCATGAAAATAGTTGATCATTTCTTCACTTACTTCATCACTGGCTATGGAAAAGATGATTGATAAGATTCTATTGCGGGCTTTAATGAAAGATTTGTAGATTGGTTCTATAGGCTTGGTAAGTGACCATACATCTCTCTTCTTCTTCTTTGCCTTCATTTTGTCTTCGACTCTAGGTTGGTAGCCTAAGCCAAAATTATCAATGCTCTTTCGTGAACTCAATGGATAAACTCTCCCTTGCAAGAAGATTCCTAAACCTTTACCCGGCTCAAACCCATGTTTCAGCAATTCATTTACCACCATCACAGATGGAATGAACATCTTTGGTTTTGAAATGACAATCCCCTCGAGGACATGATCTACAACCACTACCTCAAAAGCTTGATAAACTAGTGCCTCATTCTCATTATTCGGCTTGATAAAAGAGAGGGAGGAGTCATTTAGATTGACAAATCCCCCTTACCATGAACAATCACTTCTTGTCAATCGTATTCAAACTTAATCATTTGATGCAACGTGGAGGGGACTGCCCCAGCCCTATGCACCCATGGTCTCCCCAACAATAGATTGTAGGATGCATTGATATCCAACACTTGAAAATTCACAGCAAAATCCAGAGGACCTATGGTTAGTACGAGCTCTATCTCACCAATGACATATGTTTTTGACCCATCAAAAGCTCTAACACATACATCGTTGGGTCGGACCCTTTCACCACTAACATTCAATTTCTGTAGATTGACAAATATTTTCTCCAGATCCTCCATCAATTAAAACTTGAGTGACATATGAAGTCTCACACTTTACAGAGATGTGGAGGCCTTGGTTATGTCCCGTACCTTCCTTGGGTAGTTCATCATCTGAAAAGGATATGTGGTTTAACTAAAATATTCTCCCAGCAATCTTCTCTAACTGACTCACTGTAACTTCACTAGGAACATGTGCTTCATTCAAAATTTTCATTACAACCTTACGATGTTCATCAGAATGTATTAGCAAATAAAACAAAGAGATTTTTATGGGCTGGAGTTTTTCTTAATTGTTCCACCACGGAGTAGTATGATAGTTTCATCTTCCTTAGGAACTCCTCTGCCTCTCCTTCAGTGACCGAACTCTTTATTTGTATTTGATCATTTTTAGTTTCCTTAATTCCATCGGGGCATAACATCTTCTTAAACGGGTTATTCCTACTACTTCATATATTTCTTCATCGACTTCTTTCCCCTTGTATGTCACGACAGTAGGCTCATAATTCCAAGGAACAACTTTAGGATTAGTCATTGGGAGTTGGGAAACTGGCTTGATAATCACAGGAGGAATATAGGCCCCTTGCACGATCAAGATAGGCTTGTTTCGCCTTTTTGGGTCAATGATTTTGCCTTACTCGGACTTGAACAAACATCTTCAAGTGCTCCTTTCACAGTTAATATGAGTGTGTTTGATGGGCTTAATTTTTCTAACCTACTTTCCGCCCTAAAGGCATCACTTTTGTCAAATCAACAACATTCGCCGATTTCTCAATGCCAGTTCCAACCTTAAGGGTTGGCTTATACGGAGATTCAAATCATCCATGACCCTTCATTATTTCTAGCATGTTTGTTTTAGTATGCCTCGGTAATGGATTTTGATTGATGTTGGGTCCACTCAAATTTTCAACTATAATTCGATTAGAATCGATCAAATCCTGAATGACCCTTTTCAAATACCAACATCTCTCTATGTTGTGACCTGGGGCATTAGAACAATATGCGCAATGTTGAGAATAATATAGATTTCTCGGGGGAGGATCAACATCTTTCTCTCAATAGGACTCAAAACATTCAATGTCCTTATTTTTTGGAACAAGCTAGCATATGACTCCCTAATAGGAGTGAACTTATCTTTAACTCCATTTCCCTTCTTGTATTGTGGTCTAGGATGAAAAGGAATTTTAGAAGTATTTTGATGAACTTGTGGGGTGGTGGATGATTTTAGGGAAGTGGTGCACGCCATTGTGGTTAAGAAGGGGGTGCAATTGGTTGTGCGTTAAAAACAGGATATTGAGAGTATGGGACAAAATATTATGGAGCGTGGGAAGGAAAATAGTGATGTGGGGAATTATCTTGGACATATGTCTTAGGCGCTGATACAATAGTGGCTACATCCTCCCTTCTCTTCTTCCCTCCAATATTCCTAGAACCATTTTGAAGCACTTGTGTTGTTGCTTTTAAGGCAGCTTGACTTATAATCTTTCCAGAGTTCATGCCATTTTCCACCATTTCCCCTACCTTAATAGCTTCAGCAAATATTTTCCTGATGGCAGAAAGCAAATAGTGAAAGTAATCAGCTTCTTGTGATTGGAGAAAAAGACCAATCATCTCTGACTCCTTCATTGGTAATTTAACCCTAGCAGGTTGCTCCCTCAATTTGACAGAATATTCACGAAAATTTTTCATGGCCTTTTTCCTCGTGTTGGCTAACGAAGAGCGATCTGGCACAATGTCAATATTATGTTGGAATAGTTGCACAAAACATCGAGCCAAATCACCCCATGTATTCCATTTGGCAATATCCTAATCTATGAACCATTCAGATGCAATCCCTACTAAGCTTTCCCCAAAATACGCCAGAAGTAGCTCTTCTTTTCCCTCTGCACCCCTCAATTGATTGCAATATCTTTTCAAATGAGCTATGGGGTCTCAGTGACCATCGTATTTCTCAAAATTTGGGGTTTTAAAATCAACAGGCAAATGTACGTGAGGAAACATACACAAGTCACTGAATGAGATGCTTTTGTAGCCTCATAGTTCTTGCATATTTCTTATACTCCGTTCCAAACTCTTCATTTTTTAGACATCTCTTCATGTTCCTCATTCTTAATCGTCTTTTCAACTTTGATAAGGGAACATCATTGATGAATGTGCGAATAAGAGCTTGGAATATTAATGGCCTCTTCAAGAGTGTAACTGTGGTTATGACGATCTTTGGGCGGAGGATCCCTATTGGATTTGGGCATCATTGTTGGTTGCAAGACGGTTAGTCAAAGCAGTTGACACAAATAGTGGATTACTTATCATAGGTGTAGTCGAAGAGTACACCATAGAAGTTCCAACGACATTGGATGTGTTAGCATAGGGGTCGAATCCAGGGGGATATATTGGATCGCTTGTCGACATCTGGATGGGGGGCGACATATTTGTATTAAGATAGTCTCGAATTGAAGACGGTGGAGGTTGTCCACTCATCCAAGCCTCATACATATCTGTCGTTTGTTGTTTTAATTCCCTTATCTCTTTCATTGACCTTGTTTTCTGTGAAGTCATCTGGTTTTGAATCTCATCATTGTCCGATTCATTCTCGTCTTACTGGGCCATTTTTGTTTCCTTTTTGACCTTGTCTTGTAAGGATGTGATGTCAACTTAACCACAAACCAACCACCTTTAAGCTAGTATATATCTCTCTCTCCCCCTCTCTCTCTCTCTCTGAATGGAGTAATAAATAGATTAGTGTTAAGAAATTATGCACATTGCAGCCACATACGTACTTCTAATATGAAAGACCTTATGTTTTATACCGGCTTACGTAGGCGTTCATCTCTTCCTTACTTATTTATTATTTTATTATTATTATTATTATTTATTTATATTATTATTATTTATTTATTTTTTATTTATTTATTTACTTATTTATTTATTTGGATCGAACCCCTTGGGTTGCCTACGTATCATGTTGGTGCATGAATCAGATTTTTGCGTAGTTCGAGAGCGATATTAATAATAATTTTTTTAATGGCATGACATATGCACATAGGTGACGAAAAGCAAATCTTTTTCATTCATTTTCAAATATTTTTAAAATAATGATTTGAATAAAACATGAAAAACAGAAGTACCTAAGACTTAGATAGACTCTAAAAAGAAATAAAATAACAAAATGAGAGAAAAATAAATAAATAAAAATAAAAATAAAACAACCACTACTAAGAAAATAGACTCGAAAACAAACTAATTCCTTGGATCTCAATCATCTCCAAGACCCTTATAAATCATTGCCAACACTTTCGCTAGATGTGGAGCAAAGCACGGTATGTCGGCCCAACCTCTCATCGTTCTAGTGTAGATATCCAGCATAAACATAGTTGAGTTCATCTCTGAGTTGTAGTATTTGATCTCTGGCTTCATCCATACGGTCATAACAATTCTGTAACCAGTGCTGAGCAATATTGACTTCATGTGTCATATTTTCCCCTTGTTCGTGGAGCTCTTCAATTTGAAGGCAGAGTGAATCTCGCTCGTCTATCCTTTGACTTCTCTCAATCTCACACTCTGCCTGATAAGCACTGAAATGCCTTGGTATTTCTCTATCCCGTTCCATAGGGGCCTTAACTTGGGTCTGGAGTCTAGATTATGCGAAGATAAGATGGAAATTTTCTTTTTTATACTCCTCTTACGGTTGCTACATAGCGCCTGTGGCAATTCCCAAGTCTTCTTGTAAGGTCAGAATGGT